AAAAAAAAGAAGAAAGGAATAGAGGAGAAGAAGAGAAAATAGAATATACGTCCTTTCTTTTACTTTTCATATGAAAATACAAGTTCAACATACGTCCTTAGTTTGCTTTCAAAAGCGGAAAAACATAGCCCCTAGATCGCTCCTGAACAACTGTCCCTTAGATGCTCATGAGCCGGACCAAGCAGGAGCTAAGTTCGAGTCAAGTTGGTTCTATCGGCTCATCACAACTTTCTAACTAGCTCAGCTCGGTCCACCAAAGTCCAACACAGCTCACCTCGCGTCCAGCCCTATCAAAGGATATGACTGCCAGGAAAAGGAATTTGCATCCAGCTGATGCTGCATTTGATATCTTGCAAACAAGAAAAGATCTCCATTTGGGAAGACATTTAGGTGGACCTAGAATCATCAGGCACATAGTAAAGGGGGTTGTGCTCGGCCATCTCGATCGCAGAAGATACATGCATATAGTGCAGGACGCAGACTCGTGTGTGAGGGTTGCCAAAGGAGGTTTGGCTGTGAGGGGTGTCATTGAGGAGAAATTCCGTTGAAGGGAGGCTATTAGCTAAACTACAAGTTTATTTACCTAGCTCTCACCGTATGGAGAGCTAGGTACACCTCATCTAGATATTCAGTGATAGCTTATCTAGTGAGTAGTAGGTACTCCATCTCCACAGGTCACAAGAGAAACTGCAGCTTCTTTGTAGCTGGTACAGACATGTGAACACTAGCTAGTAGGTTCACTAAATAGCGTCCCGCGTACATGATTGATTGGTATTTTGTCTCTTGATAGTGATACTTCTGGTGGCATTCATCAAGTAGATTTCTCGTTCTCTGCACTTTCTGTCTTAAGCGGAGAGTTCAGTGCATTTCAAGTACCTTAACTGCTGCAAGTTGAAGTACATAAAAGAGTACACATTCGGAAAAAAACAAAGTACACAAATATACATGGAAAAGCACACGATTATTCCCTTTTTGGTTGCCCAGAGTAAACAAGCTTTGGGGGTTAATACATGGAATATATTTGGTCCGTTGCTTAGTTTCTTTTCTCACACCTAACTTATATTGGGATAGTTCAAGAGAGAAGCAACTACCAGTTCCTTCCTGACACAGCTCATAGCTTAGTTTTCCCACGCACAACTTATACCTTATCCAGTGGCAGTGAGATGGCGGTTGTTAAGGCAGTCTACCAAATTCAAGTATCTTATGCTGTAGACAATAAATTGGAACTATAGCAGCTGACCACAAGCAATTATGTACTATAAGAAGTTTGAATTGAGTAGCGGAAGTTGCCAACTTTAGTCCACGGCTTTCAGTCGGCAGACAACAACAAAAATCAAGTTTGAATTGGGAGGCAGACGTGGGCCTTGTTACCGCGGACTATGGGTACTGAACCACTTGTAACGCATGCTTACAAACACGCGCGCACACACACACACACACACACACACACACACACACACACACTATAAGACAACATGCACCACCCAAGCAGTTTTTGCCAAGAGCACTTGTGAATTACTTCCATCCCAAAGAAGGTTTCTTACAAAGAGTTGTTCTGTTTGTGGATACATAGCATACCACAGCTTAATCCATGGCGAAATGCTGGCTAGTGCTCCTCTGCTTGGTGTTCCTCCTGCCGGCGACGAGCGCGACGTCGTGCCACGCCGACGACCTCTGCACTCTGCGGGACTTTGCCCGGAACCTCACCGGCGGTGGCGTCATCCTCCGTGCAGCGTGGTCCGGAACCACGTGTTGTGGCTGGGAAGGTGTGAACTGCGACGGCGTAAGTGGACGCGTCACGGCGCTGCGGCTCCCCGGGCGCGGCCTTGCAGGACCCATTGCAGGAGCATCCTTGGCAGGCCTGGCATGGCTGGAGGAGCTCAACCTTGCCAACAACAGACTGATCGGCACCATTCCATCGTGGATTGGTGAGCTTGACCACCTTCGTTACTTGGATCTCTCGGATAATTCATTGATTGGCGAGGTACCCAAGAGTTTGATACGGTTCAAGGGCATCGCCATCGCTGGTCGTTCACTGGGTAAGGCTTTCACTAACATGCCATTGTATGTGAAGCGTAATAGAAGAACACTCCAACAACAACCTCAACCAAATACGATATCAGGGACCAACAATACCGTCAGATCTGGGAGCACCAATGTTGTTTCTGGGAATGACAACACTGTCATATCTGGGAACAACAACAGTGTGTCAGGGAGTAACAACACTATCGTAACCGGGAGTGACAATACCGTAGTTGGAAGCAACCATGTCGTATCTGGGAACAAGCATGTCATAACTGACAACAACAATGCCGTATCCGGAAACGACAATAATGTATCCGGGAGCTTCCATACGGTATCCGGGAGCCGCAATACAGTATCTGGGAGCAACAATACCGTATCTGGAAGCAACCATGTCGTGTCTGGGAGCAACAAAGTCGTAACAGGAGATGAATGATCTATAAGCGGATTAGTTCCATCTTCCATGATGGAGCTAACGTCCGTGTCCAAGTTCAGTATATCTCACAATCAGTTGGTTGGGCCAATCATGTTATGTAACTTCATGGATCTATATAGTATCATTTTCCTACTTTCAATGAAATTTCCCAAAAATGTCTTACATACACGCTGACCCGAATATCAACGGGCGGCTTGCAGCTGATGTAGACCAAGTGTATTTTCTTATGAACTTGGTTCGTGAATGTCAAGATGGGCATATTATTCTATCTCTTGTATTCTCTATGATGTGTTAATTTCCTACTTTAAATAAAATTTCCAGAAATTATCTTACATACTTGCTGAAAACAATATCAATGGCGGCTTGCAGCTAATGTATACCAACCATGTTTTCTTATGTACAAATTTGCCGTGGATGTATCCAGAAATTTGCCGTGGATGTATGCATGTCATGTGTTCTATTCTCTGTGATTTGGACTCTAGATCACATAGTGAATTATAAATGCTTAATCTATAGACACTTCTCTTGTGCAAGTGTAAATGTTAGATGTTAGATGCATCAATGTCGAATGTTTGGATGAAGCGGATGGAGCAAAAGAGCAGATATTCGTACAAATAATATGCACAGTGTATCCACGTTGATCTAATAGACCAGATCCTTCAATACTGTTGTAGTTTAACGATTACAGTATTTTGTACGGCCAAGGATAAAAATCCCCGCAGAAGCAAGAGCTTCATCACAAGCACGTGAAAAAAAGATTAAAGGGGCTAGCGCTCTGGATCGACCAATAAGGCAAGAACATATCTATAGTGTAGAGTTCTCTAAAAAAAACAGTGTAGAGCAGGGATCTGACTCAGACCATCGATACGCTTAGGAAGCAAATTGTCCGGTTGTGCGAGAAATTTTGCCACGGTAGATAAATGGTTGCTGAGTGTTTTGCTCCGGCACATACAGCTTAATGTCAAGGGTGCGCCCAAGGGATCTGGTCCATTGGATGTCAAGGCTGATCATCAGAGATTAGGGGCTGTCCTCCTTTTCTAAAAATAGAAATCAGGATGTCAGGGGTGAGCGTTCCTCGAAGGGAGGCTGTTAGCTAAGCTACAAGAAGCTAGCCTAGATAGCTCTTTTTTCTTCGTGAATACGTAAAGCTTGCGTATCATTTCATTGATAGAAGAAATTAAGAACGAGTATAGAGGGTGGTAGAAGTCATGACACAAACGCAGGAGGCGTGAACATGGCTACCGGAGCAGAGGGACATAGGATGCTCAGCTCAAACAGAAAAGTAACACGGCTAATCTCGCCACCCTAGGACGCAGCCCAAACCAAACCAACAAGACGAACAACATCATCAAAATTACCAGCGAGGACACCGCGAGCATACAAGACGATGCCTTCATGAAGGGGAACGACGCCGGGGCACCATTGTCGTCCGATCCACAAAGCAGGACCTAGGGTTTCCCCTGATGCTCGAAGAGGGGCACAGAAAACGACCATGGCAGCGCCTCCAAGAAGGAAAAGGCACTCGCGGGTGTCTTCGCTGCTAGCATTGAAATTTCGAGCAAGGATTTCGCCCTGGCCGAGTCTGAGCAGTCCCAAGCTGTCGGAGCAATAGTCGAGGAGGAGGAGGTCGAGTCGGAGGCCGAAGCTGCCATCGCAGGAAGGCATCATGCGCTGCCGAAAGAATGAGCTAGCGAACATGCGGAAGGGCGGAAGGAGCACGAAGGTGGGCAGGGTTGGGCAGTCGGGCGGAAGAATGGAGGGATGCGACGCTGGTCGAAGACCCAAACAAGCTAAGATCTGGAGAGAAACGCAGATCCGAGCTGCTGGGACGCCCGGCGAGCCGAAGGAGCTGGAAGGGGTGCAGCTCCAGAGGCACACCGGAGTCGAAGCCACACCGGGGTGGATATGGGCCAACCACAAATGCCCGTAGGGGGTGCTTGCGGAGCTACCGAGACACCGACAAGCCGAATGAGCCGGAAATAGACGCAACTCGAACGCGGGGAGCGCCGGATCTGGAGCCGCTCTGACCAACCATGGACACTGGAGGAGGGCACAGGTCCATGGCCGCCAGGGCCGAGGCCACACCTGCAGGGTATGGGGAGGGCGAAGGGAGCTCGCAGGCGTGCCACACACCCGATCAGCACGCTGCAGGAGGCAGCAGCCGCGGGCAACCACTGAGGACCACCGAGATGAACCGTCGCTCCGGAGCCATGGCCGCAACCCGCAGGGTGGAAGAGCGCCACCGTGGCGCCCCTAGGGCTGGCCAGCCCGACCAAGAAGCCCTGACCCCATCCTCCCGGGATCCGGCGTCAGCAGCAGCAGGGGCGCTGGCGGCCGCCATGGATCTGGCGCAGAAGGTGGGGAGGGGGGAGGTCGCGCCGGTGAAGTCTAGGAGCAGCCGAAGCCCGACTGAAAGGGGGCGGGCGAGGGCCGGGGAGGGGGGATGAGCCGCCGGAGGCGCACCAACGTCGGTGCGCAGCAGAAGTCGACGGGAAAAGAGGGAGGCGGCACAGCGCACGGAGCCAGGTCAGCCGAGGCGCTCGGCCGCCACCTTCCCGGGAGTCAGCGCGGCTTCGCCGGCCGCACCTCTGGTGGCGGCGAGGAGGTGGGGAGGGGGCCGCGGCAGCGCGGCTAGGTTTCCCACGCCTCTGTTGAACCCTGCCGCGACCCCGCGTAGCCTCCCCACCTCTGGCAGGAGGTAATATTCGATGATATATGCATGCATGCATTCACGTCATACGGAGGCCTCACGGCAATGTTTTGTTTGATATAGGTTACTATACTTGTCATGTCTTTTTTAAACAGACTAATTACGTCCGTCCGGACAGTTCAAAAGGGAAACAACTACTATAGTTCGTATTACAACTCATAGCTTTGTATTATCACGCCCAACTTATACCTTATCCCATATCCTCCATTTCCACAGCTCACATGATATATTGCTAGCCTGTAACTTACCTGATATGGTGGCTTTCTATGGAGGGTGGCAGCTTCGGCAGAGCAGCCAGAACAATATTTGATG